AGAGGTGTCTAATCTCTTTCTTGACACATTTTGTAGTAATACATTCAACCTTTCATCGATATTGCTAGATTGCATTTCTAGCTCCGCAAAGGCTTGAAAGGTCATGTATTCTTTTATTACTGCCATTTAAAATGAATTAGTCTATTTGTGATGTTTGCCCTTAATGCTTGTATACATTCTATTGAATACAAAATATAGTCCCTGGGGCCTTTAAATATGGTACAATGTCCAGCATCGCTTGTTTTATTTAAATAGATCTTAGCCTCAGATTTAGTTATGGATAAACTTCCCCACCTGCATTCTCTACAAAAGATATCATTTGTTGTTTGTCAAAGCTAAGCAGCTCTGCCTTTTTTTTTACTTGCACACTGGAGACATAAGTTACTCAAAAGGACTAAGTATTATAACCAGATTGTCTTAAGGGGGAAATACTCCACATACCCCCATTTGTTTTTGAGGAGAGTAAAAATGAAGAACGAACAGAGGAAAAGCATAGTTATAATCGGAAATGTGATACTACATGGCATAAAGAGACAGGCAATGATGTATCATCCAGGTCAAGTTTACTTAGTTTAACAGACTTTCTCTGAGCCATGAAAACTGAGGATGAGATATGAAAGTCAATTTATGTTATTTCTAGTGCATGAGCAATGAAACCTACCCAACTGAGGTGCTTACATCTTAATTGTACCTGCAATATAATACTCCTCACTTGGAGGCAAGGCTTACTGGTCAGGCATGCTCAGAAAAGGACAGTGTTTCTTTCACACCTTCAGCTTAGTTTACAAGGCTTAATATTCTTTTAAATAACCAAATTCACATATAATTCACTCTTTCATTATTATCTATTGATGACACAGTAACATTTTTTTAAAATTTTGTTGAAGTATAAGACATTAAAATGGAAGACTGAAATTACAGAACCAACAACAAATAGCCCAAAGTTACTATTTGTCATCTACATATTATCACTAAGTTTGTCACATTTTTATTTGTGCTACCAGGCTGAAATCACTCCTTTTTAATATGACAATATTTTATAGCTGGCATAAATATAAACACTAGGGTCAACAAAATGAAGTACCACAAACTTTCAAGAATAGTTAGTGCAAATGAGAAATGCCAAGGCACAGCATCCTGCACAAAGCTTGTATCCAAAATATAGACCCAAATCATCTTCACTGTGATGAAGAAATATGCAGCAAGAGGAAAAAGTAGATCAAGCCACACTTGATAATTTAGGTTTAATTAAGGAGAGGGAAAAATTTCTGAATTACAATAATCATAAAAGTAAATAACTTTTAGAAAGTCCAATACAATATTTCAATAGACTGTATTTATTTCTAAAAAACTTAATATTCTTTGAAATATAAAAAAAATATAGTTACTCATAATAATGGCAAGTATTTGCTTGGCTGGTGCCACACGGATATTATTTTGACAGCCAATGTTAGAGAGAGAAACTGTAAATATTAGTGTGTGTAATCATGGAACTTACCTCAATTGACTCAGATTTCCTATCATGGGGATGAGGTGACCTTGGATAAATATCAAGAAGATGAGGTGGGTCATCTGTATGTATTCTTCTACTATGTTGTTTAAGAACTTCCTTATAGTTAAATGCATCAAAATTGGTCTTCCACAGTAATACCTGAAAAACAACAATCAGCCTTTATACAATTGTTTATTTACTAAGGAAAATAACTATTTGCAAGAAAAACTACAAGAACTTGGTTTTCAAAAACTGCTGGTGCAAATGTACTGCTCTCCAGAACTGCAATACAATAATGATGTACAATTTCCATGAAGAACCTCTACAGTATCATTTTAAAGGCAAAACACTATTTAAAATAATAGAGATTCAATGCCATAGATTTTACTTTCAGCTTATTACAATATCCAAAATATAACTGTTCCGTGATATTTTCATTTCAGTTATTCATAAGATAGGGGTACCAATAAAAGTAACTAAATATCAAAGCTCAAAAATACAAGCACCTCAAAATTTGTATCAGGAAAAACCTACTAAGACTTAGAAATATACAAATAAAAGGACTTTGAATTGAAATCTAAACACAGGTTGAAACTCTCTTAACCAGCAACATGCATGGTCCAGCATGGATGTTGCAGGACCAGAGAGCCCTAGTGGAGGGGGCCAGTGGCATAGATCCCAGAGGGACCAGAAGGGCAGTGGACTGCCCACAGCGAGCTTATGGAAGGGTCGCCCAGCACATGGCAGTGGGGCTGCCCAGCGGGACAGGGTGCTGCAGCATGTTGCTTCTCATCAGGTTCCAGAGCCCCAGCACAGCACATGCAGCTGCCCTGCCAGTCCTGGAGTCACGGCAGCGATGGCTGCCTAATAGGGTCGGCAGGGCAGCAGGGTGTGGAGACCCAGCCAACACGTCAGCAGGTGGGCCAGAGGGGCTGGTGGCAGGGGTCTAGAAACGACCTCTCCATATTCAGAAAAATCCCTCATCCAGGACTGGTCAGGTCCTGAGGGTGCCAGACCAGGGAGGTCCAAGGATTTGTCTGCTGCCAGTCCCTTACCCCAATTCTAATAGATTAAAGGTAAATCAGGGTAACACACATATATTGAACTAGACAATGAAGGACTGTTAAATAAAATTAAGAAATTTAATATAGATATATTTTAATAATGTACACTTATGAATAATGAATTATAGATAAGCTAACACCCAGACCAACCTCTTGCCTATCTTTAATGTGGTCTTGCCAAATCCTTGATATAAAATTGCTGAATTCTTTGAGAATATTATTTGCTGTCATGATATTCGTGTTGGAAGATGCAAGGAAGAAGTATACCTACATGTAATGATAACTTAAAAAAAATTTCTAAGACGACACAGAAACACTGTGACACAAAACAACATGTTCCAAACCTGCAAAACTAGCAGGTAAAATGCAGAAGCATACTCATGTGTAATATACAGATATATAAAATTAAACAGGTGATGAGGTAAAAGCCAACTCGATATAATGAAATAATCTGAAATATAGAAAGGTACATTTCTGACTTAGCTGTTAATATTGCCTGGCATAAATATATGTTCAGACACTATAGATGACAATTTTGTCTGAAACTGTATAGATAAAAAAGGAAAAATTGATTAAGCCTAAACCAGGTGAACTTGTGACTCAGTATCTCCACTTAGGTCCCATCAATGCTAGAAGGGACTATTGTATAACATAAATCAGGAAAGTCCTACCGTTTAATTCCTGTTTGAACTAGAGCGTATCTTCTAGAAAAAACATCCAATCTTGATTTAAAAATTGACAGCAATGGAAAATCCATAACAATCTTTACTAAACTGTTGCAGCAGTTTATTCCATCACAATTAACATTTTTTCACTTTATTTTTAGTGTAAATTTTGCCTAGCTTCAAATTCCAAGCATTTGAATCTTGTTATATGTATCTCTGCTATACTGAAGAGCCCTCTATTATCAAATTTCCATTCCCCACGTAAGTACTTATACACTATGCCCAAATCACGTCAACCTTCTTTTTGACAAACCAAACAAACTGAGCATAAGCGTTTTCATATAGACTCCTTCAGTAAGAAGATGGCTCATATCTGAGCTCTCGATTTTTCACCATCCTTATTGAATTTTGGACACTAGAACTGGACACTATCTTCTACCAATGGTCCCACCCAAGCCAAACAGAAAGGAAATAGAACCTCTCTGGTCCTTTTCAATATTCCCCATATTCTTGTATCCAAGAATTGTGTTAGACCTTTTCGACACAGCATTATACTATGAGCCCATATTCATCTGATTATCCACTAATAATCCAAAGTCCTTTTCAGAATCACTGCTTTTCAGGAGTAGAGTCCCTGTAAGTCTGAGCTACATTCTTTGTTTTTGTGTGTGACCTTACATTTGGCCATAATGAAATGCATTTTTTACTGTGTTCAGCTCATCACACAATCCAGATCACACTGTATAAGTGACCTGCCTCTTCATTATTTACTGTTCCCCTACACTTTATATCATCTGTAAATTTTATTAGTAGGATTATATTACAGATCTATTAAAAAATTAAATAGCTTAGAGACAAGAATCAATCCCTAAAAATATCCACTAGAAACACAGCTCAGTGATGATTCCCCATTTACAGTTATATTTTGAGAGCCATCAGTTACCAGTTTTTAATCCATTTACTATGGGCCACATCAATTTTATCTTGTTTTTGCTTTTTAATCAAAATGTCACGCAGTACCAAATGACATGCCTGTTTCCTTTTAATTTCTGTAGTGGAAGGACACCATATAGGCCTATTTTGGTCCTGAGTGAGATATTGTTTTAAGATGGGTTTGAATATTGGTATGGCCCAAACCATTTGAGCAAAAAGAATGAGATTATGAGAAGGCAAGATTGTTTGTATAAAACATGTAGTGACCCTTGAAATACTAGTGTTATAGTATTTCAGATTTAGGCTGACGTAAGAGAAATAAAGAAAGCATGTTCAATTGGGTGTCAGATGCAGGCACAAAATTCCTGCTTTAGGTCCAATAACCAGCATTTACAATACTTGTTTATTATAAGTATATAAAAGCAGGGTTCTTTAGGAATGAATGTCTTCATGAGAGCTTCTCCTTTACCCCTTTGGAGTCACACCATTATGGACAGGTATCACCCAGGGTATGATCCTATGTAAATATTTTGGACAATGCTTGTAACTGAATTGTTAGTAGGATACAGAGTGTAACAGTACGTCTACACAGTAGTGCATACCTTGAAATAGGCTATGCAACTTGAGCTATGCAAATTGCGTAGCTTATTTCAAAATTTGGCACTGTCTACACAGCATTCCAGTTTGAACAAAAATTGACAATTATGTAGCCTCTCTCCAAATTAAGAAAGACTGATATAGGGAAGGCAGATTATAACGCCCTGTTTGTGTGTTCACTTTATAGCTGCCTGCCTATCTACTCAAAAGTTATTTACTGCAGCAATGACAAAGAATACTAGGGCAACAGTACTTAAAATGTTTGCGAGGAGGAAACTACGGTATCTGTGCTTATAGTAAGTAAAGAAAAAAAGTGTTGATGGAAATTCAGTAATATTAACTGAATATTAACCTGGCTACTCCTTGGATTGGGAGCTTTCACAGAACATGCCCTTGTCAGAGACAGGTAGGGTACAGAGAATGCACTCATTACTTATTAATTCTTGTAAGAAAGACCAATGTAGAACCATATCCTTCACAGAACACAACTTATTCCTTTTAATAAGAAACACACTCCTGATAATTTTAGTTTGTGCATTATAATTATCTTACAATAAGACTTTAAATATTGTTTTGCCTCTTTAAATGCAAATACATTTTTAATAATTTTTCAGACCTGAAGTCTCACTCATTTCTTAAGTGCAGCAAAATGTAAGGTATAGGCTACTTCACTTTTTTTTAAGTTAACATTGTTATTTTTAAGCATTCATACTTGTACTGTAATAACTGAATATTTTTGTCATTGAATAAATGCTCCAAATGCTATAGATTTAAAAAGTTTCTAGTCCTTCTGGCTGTGAAACACTAATAGCTCCAAGAGATGCAAAGTGCCCCATTCATTTTCTTGAGAAGTATGGATAAACAAAACATTGTGTTCCTTGACAGCTAAGTTCATGAGAATGTTTTGCCTTTTGAATACTATCAAGCTTACCATCATAGTTTCACTATCTGTTGCAAGGTTTAGTGGATTTTTTCGCCTCAAAATGACACATAGTAAAGTGAAAGGCATTCGTAAGATTTCCTTCTTTTATCCTCAAATATTTTAGTTTTTGCATCTAGCTTCATTTTCATAATTCATTCATTTATTGACCCTGTGTCTTTTTGCAAAATCTTTTACATCTCAAGTTTTAATCTTTTTTGCTAGCAAACTCCTCCAGCATCAACATCCTTGCTCCAGTGTGCATTGATTTCTCTCCAATATCTGCCGAGTCTTTTGATTGCTTGTTGTAGATTCACTGTGATTTCAGATTTTTTTTTTTTTAATTTCCTTTGAGTTCCCACAAATCATTTCTAGAAAAGGTGCCACATGAAGCAACATCTCTGGTTATTTGTATTTGACTCCGCTTGAGGATTAAATCAGTGGTGTCTTCTTCCTAATACTACTTGAGTCTTTAGTTTGAATTGTATTCTTTCAAGCTGTGTTTTCTATAGTAAAACTCCAGCGGTCTGGCATCCAATGGTCCGGCACTCCTGATGATCTGGCACACCTGGAACCCGGAAGTGCTCCAGGCAGCCGGACAATTAGAGCTGATCTGTCCCCGGCTTCCCCAGTTCAGCCGCTGCTGAAACTGACCAGCGGCTGACTCGGGGAAGCCGGGGGCAGAGCAGCTGGGGTGCTGCCGGGTTGGTCCCGCAGCGCTGAGGGGCGCATCCCCCTCACTCCACCCCAGACCCCTCATTGCCTCCCCTTCCAGTGGTCCGGCATATTTGATAATCTGGCACCCCTGGGTCCTAAAGGTGCCGGATTATCGGAAGTTTACTGTATTAGTTGTTGAGTAAAATTCTACTATTTTCTTCCCACCAACAAAATGCACTGCCAAAATATAAAACATATTTGTAGTAACTCCCTGGAGTGTTACTTCCACAAAGCAGTTGTCTGTGCCTGCATCAGGGGCTCCTATAACAGATTTTGTTCTTTTTTTGTTGCCCCAGAATACCGAGGAAGCATTTTACAGACTATGAAGTTCTAATCCAAGTGCTAGATCAGGGGAGGGCAAGATACGGTTCGTGTGCTGCATCCAGCCCACAGGCCGCCTGGCTGGGACCCTCAGGCACAAAGCAGCCAGCCACATCAGAACAGCCCCACACCTCTTTAAGCAGCTGGCTGCTCCCTGTGCTTCTCTGCTCAGGGCACCAGGGGGAGGTAGAGAGTTTGAATGCTTCCCTCTGCCCTTCCCAGCAAAATCTCTCAGCTCCCCCACAGAAAAGTGCAGCCCTTGACCACATATCAAAAACCTGAAGTGGCCCCCAATCAAAAATTATTGTAGCCTCCTGTGCTAGATCATTTCCATCTTCCTTAATTGTGCCTTTTATTCTTTTACCATGTAAAGACCTGGAGTTGAAAAAAGGATTAATTATTTTACTGGCTGCTTTAATAAAACTTACTGTGCCTGGAATTATTTGATATGCTGTAAAAAAAAATCTAATGCTTTAGCTAATTTATATGCATCATCATAGAAATCATCTTTAGCAAAAGCACATTAGTAACAGCAAAATTAATTTCCCGCTGCGCACTTCTCAATAGATTTCTTTGAATTACTGTACAGTGACCCACATTGTTTCCTTGAACTTGAATAATTACTTCTGATGTCTTTCTTCTGCTATGGGACTCATAAAATACAAATGGAGGGCAGACCTTTGTGTGTGTGTGTGTGTGTGTGTGTGTGTAATACTCAATTGGAACGGGTGAAAGTAAAAATGTAATTTTATAGCACAAAACAAAAATACACAAATTAAATGTATATAAAAGCCAACCTAGAAATGATTAATTTCTAAATGATAATTACAGCACAGGTCCCTGTAAAATTAAAAGCAAGTAATTTTAAGGGTATTAATGGTAGAGGCAGTGATGAGTTACCAGAAGGATGGAATGATAGACAATTAACTCCTGCTCTGTGAACTAATTCACATAAGACAAAGGTCAGACATTGGTATTAATTATTGATTACCAAAAATATGCAAAAAAGTTCAAATAAGTCCATTGTAATTCTCAAGTTTCAAAACACTATTCAATCACTGAAATAAATATTGGAAGAATATTTTTTTTTCATATAGAACATCAATATTTTAAACAAACCTGAGCATCAGCTCCACCTGATGCAAATTTTTTCCCACCTTTAGAGAAGACCACAGAAAGCACAGGTCCCTGTAAAATTAAAAGCAAGTTCAGTAATTTGCTAAATTAATGTATTTGTATTAGTCTCTTTCTTCACAATGAAAGATAGATAACCTTTTATCTATTGTTCAAATGAACTCCAGAACTACAACTTTCTAATACTAATGTATACAGTCAAAGTGGATGAGATAATATTTTTATTGCACCACCTTCTGTTCATGAAAGAGATAAGCCTTCACCCTTTGTGAAGAGGAGGAGCTCTATACAGCTCAAAAGTTTGTCTCTTTCACTAACAGAAACTGGTTCAAAAAAACTATATCATCTCACCCATCTTATCGCTTTAATATTCTAGGACTAACTTTACTACAACACTGCAAAGAACTAACAAGAAACAGTCCTGCTGCAATGATGATTTCTATAAAATTAAAATTGAGAGGAAGATGAAGACTGCAAATCACAGGGAAATATTGGGTCGTGATTGCTGCTGTATTACCTGTTGTTCTAAACAACACTAGGTTTCCTATATACTTAATATTTCATACACTGTATATTTGATATTTTATAATAAATACCGGTAATTGTCAGAAAGTAGAGCTTGCTGCATATTAGGAAGAGAGAAAAAGAAAGTGGTGATAGAAGGTTCTTCTTAAGAGTACCCACACACACTTCCATTAACTACAGATGATTTAAACAGCACATGTACTTATCTAGTAGATTGTGAACAACTAATCTGCAAATTATTGAAGAACAGAACCCTCTTGATTTCAGATATTAATTCAATATGAAAACTGATCTAGCAGTAAGCACAAACACAGTACAGCCACTTCCCGACTTACGAACTGGTTACGGACCAAGCAATTGGTTGTAACTCAGTTAATTCGTAAGTCAGACCCCATTGAGTTACACGTGACCGCGCTGTTCGTAAGCGCGGATCGCATTTGTAACTCGGGGTCTGCCATTTACGACAGCTATGGTCGTAACTGCGAACGAGCGTAAGTTGACCACTCGCAACTCGGGGACCAGCTGTAGTCACATGACTGTCACTTATGATTATGCAATTTTTGTCAACTTGTGACAAGTTGCATTACTACAAGATTTCCCCGCCCCCCCCATAGGAAATGTCATGCATTGGCAAATAACTGCCATAATTAGCATATCATGCAAGTGTGTTATTTCTCCTTTAATGATGTTATTAAACATTTATAGAGATGATAAAATTCACTAACTTTTCAGTTTTAAAAAAAGTACTACAGTACTGCTCTACCTTGTGTCCATGAAGTGTGTATATAAGTCTTCCTTCTAATAGATCCATAATTTTAAGGGTACCATCAGTAGAGGCAGTGATGAGATAGTTACCAGAAGGATGGAACGATAGACAATTAACTCCTGCTCTGTGAACTAATTAACATAAGACAAAATTCAGACACTGATATTAATTATTGGAAATAAAAAATCTGTGTCCTACAGTAGCTGCTTTCCAGTGCCCAAAACAGTAATCAACACCCATTATTACTGAGAGAAAAGAAAAACCAAAGTGAAGGAAAGCAGTTATGTAGTTCCATGCTAATACAACAGAAAAACTACAAAATGAAGAAAAATGTTGAAAGTCTAAAAAATAATGCTTTTATTTAAATAAAGGATGCAGACTTGTTTGCTTTCCACTTATCATGCGGCAGCAGTCAGGGGCCCTTGGCTCTTTTGAATCACTGGGCATCAGGGAAGTTGTCCCTTTTGCCCCATCCGATTGGTGGGCTTTTTCTTGTGTAGGATATTTGTTGACATCATGTATTATATTTACCAAGATGCAGAAAGAAATGAGACACTAATAAATAACATGTTAAAAAAAAAAAATCAGGATACGAACAAAAAACACCACAAAGCAAAGGTTATTCTCAGCGCTTAATTCATACTATTAAACTTAAAATCCTTACGATCACCTACCAGTGAGTGTGCTTTCTGGTTCTAAGACCCAGTAACATGAGTTTAGCAGCAAAATAAAGCTTCAGTATTGAATGTCATCTCTTATTAGCCAAATTAAGATTCTTAAGATGACTTTCACAGCATGTGTCTTTTTTTAAACGTGAATTCTTAAGATTATAGCAAATTCTCAACAGAATCTGCAAAACTATAGAACAATTTCTAAGGGATTAAGTTGAAATACACTGCAGTTTCATTCAAATTACATTCTTCTGAAAATGAAAAATATTGACAAAGAGAATATTGAGTTACTAAAACATTTAGAAGAGATTTATTTAATAAATATTAAATGTTAACGTTTTCCCCCTGTACTGTTAACTTCAGTCCTTGGAGAAAAAGGACTGATTCACATTAGTTGCACTGATACATCTTGATATAGTGAAATACTTCAGCACATAGCTAACTTCACTGGGACTATGCACAGGCTTATAGTTAAACGTATGTGCTTCACTGGAGCATGGCCTTTGTCCATCAGGGTGAGATGCAAGGAACATTCATTTCCTACTGACCACTTGACAGATCATTAGGTATCGGAGTTGATAGACAACAATGAGGTGTCGCAAGCCTTTCCAAAAATAGCTAGGTGTACTGTGGGATAGTTACCCATGGTGCACTCCTCGGTGCATCAAAGCAAGTGCTGCTAGTGTCCACTGACCAAATAAGGCTCATCAGTTAACCTTCACAGTTACATGTAGTTCCCTACCCCTGTGCTGCTGACTCTGATACAGAGAAGAGAAGTGGCACAAGTGGGCATTCGTATGCGCAGGGAGCCAGCTTAAAAGCCAGCTCCCTTCGTGTACTGGCTCCCGCAGAGCCACCTACCTATATCAGAGGCAGCAGCGCAGGAGGGAGAAACAGGTGGCTCCATGGGACTGGTACATGCAGGAAGCTGGTTTAAAATTTCAGCAGTTACATGTTTACTGAAATACACACATTTTAACACCCCTAATTAAAACTATGATTAATTGTGATTAATTTTTAATCACAATTTTTAGAGTTGATTGTGTGAGTTAACTGTGATTAACAGCCCTAATACTTACTGTTTTAAAGTTATTTTCTAATGTTAATCATTGCTTGCACATCTATATTTAAAGTCTGACAGTCAAAGAATAAGTAACTTGTCCAAGATGAGAGAACTACTCAGTGACATGGATAGCATTAAAAGATGGAAGTCTCGCGTTTTAATTATTCCTGCTCTAACCATGAGTCCACACTTTCTTAAAAGTTATGGTTATTAATCAACATCTTTCTTACAGCTGCTTATTATGTGATAAAGGAATGTAGCTCATGTCTTTTCAGAAACTAAAGATATCACTTTCACAATGGCCAGGTAATATTCTTCATTCAAAAAGACAGAAAATAGAACCGGTCTTCAAATCCAAGAGGCAGTGCGATTTTCTGCCAAGATAATTTCACAATTCTGCTGTTAAACTGAAGAAAATCAACCTTGTGTGGCTACTTAATTATTTCATTTTGAGAATAATTGCATCAGTCTTCTCTCAACAAGAATTAGCAGAAGAAAAATAATTCTTTAAAGTACTCTATAATAGTAGGAGATATACCATCTCATAGAACTGGAAGGGACCTTGAGAGGTCATCAAGTCCAGTCCCCTGTCCTCATAAAAGGACCAAGTACCATCCCTGACAGATTTGCCCTGATCCCTAAATAGCCCCCTCAAGGATTGAACTCTCAACCATGGGTTTAGCAGGCCAATGCTCAAACCACTGAGCTATCCCTCTCCCTCAAATTTTTAAAAAACTTAAACAATGAAAAGTCTAGTAGCACCTTAAAGACTAACAAAACATGTAGATGGTAACATGAGCTTTCATGGACACAACCCACTTCTTCAGATTAAATTTAAATAAAGAATAGTTAAGGGAATAATCCTGAAAGTTACTAGATATTTTATTGCTTTCATTTAAAAAAAATTAAGTAAATCGAGTTAGTTACCCCATGATCTATATAAGCTTTTACCTCGGTAATGCTGCAGTAACTTGTTCATTCGAATATCCCAGAGCTTCACTATATGATTAGAACCTGCAGAAACTACACATGTACCACTTGGATTGAAATCAACATAGTTTGCAAACCTAGATGGAAATCATGAAAATACATTTAATGAATATTGCTGTTTTAAAAGAAATATCTACAAGTCAAGAGAATTAATATGATCATAAGAATGGCCATACTGTGTAAGAAAAATGATCTAACCAACCCAGTATCTTGTCTTCTGACGGTGGCCAATGCCAGAATCTTCAGAGGATAGGAACAGAAACAGATCAATCATCAAGTGATCCATGCCATCATTTACTCCCAACTTCTGGCTATCAGAGGTTTGGGACACCCAGGCCATGGGTTGCATCCCTGACCATCTTGGCAGAGAGCTATTGACCTATCCTCCATGAATTTCTTTTTTTTTTTTTCAACCTAATTCTATTTTTCACAACATCCCCTGACAATGAGTTTAAAGCACCTATTAATTTCTTATGTTATGTGACGAGTTAGGCAATACCTCCCTATTCACTCTCTCCTTACCACTGATGGTTTTAGAGACTTCTGTTATATTCTCCATTAACGGTCACTTTTCTAAGATTAAAAGTCCTAATTTCTACATTAAATGGAAACTGTTCCATACCCCTAATAATTTTTGTTGCCTTTCCAATATGTACTTTTTGAGATGGAGCAATCAGAACTAGATGCAGTATTCAAAGTGTGGGCATACTATTGATTTATAAAGTGCCGTTATGGTAGTCTCTCCATTTCCTAATGGTTTCTAGCATTCTTATCTTTTTTAACTTCTGCTGCACATTGAGTAGAAGTTTTCAGAAAATTATCCGCTATGACTCCAAGATCAGTTTCTTGAGTGGTAACAGCTAATTTAGAGGCCAACATTTTGTATTTCTAGTTGGAATCAATGTTCCCTCTAATCTCTTCCATCCATGTACAGATTTTTTCCATCCATGTACAGAATAAATGTTTATGTGCACTGAGGCACATGCAAATGTGCACCACCAATAGAAACAAAAAACCTAGACATGGGTATTCTGTTATCAGCTGGGCAGCATTCAAATCTCTTTTGAGTGGCTACACAAGTACACAATTTACAGGGAACACTGATTGGGATTATATTTTCTCTTTATATGCATTACTTTGTATTTATTGACATTGAATTTCATCTGCCATTTTGTTGCCTACTCATCAATTTTGCAAGATCCCGTTGTAACTCTTTGCAGTCAGTTTTGGACTTAATTATCTTCAGTAATTTTGTATTCTCTGCAAACTTTGCCAGCCGACTATTCACCCTTAGCAGAATCATTTATGAATATGACAAACAGTACCAGTCCCATACAAATTCTGTTTGTCGTCTTCTGTATTTTAATCGGTTCTAGTTCATGAGAGGACCTGTTCTGTTATCCCACGACTATTTACTTAAGAGCTTTTGGTGAAGGACCTATGTTCCCTCTAAGTTTTTCAATCCATGTGCTGAATACATTTTGTTCTGTGCACCAAGTCATGTGCAGCTGTGTATCACAAATTGAAACAGATGCTGCCTGCTGTGGGCACTCTGCTAATCAGCTGGGTGACACCTGAATCTCTCCCGGGCAGCCACCCAAGCGCTCAGCTTAGAGGGAACACTGTGAGGGACCTTGTCAAAGACTTTCTGAAAGACAAAGTACACTATGGCCACTGAATCACTCTTGTTCACGTATTAGTTGACCTTCTCAAAAAAATTCTAATAGATTAATGAAGTCGGATTTCCCTTTACACAAGCCATACTGACTTTCAACTTCTCATCTATGAATCTAATAGTTCAGGTCTTTACTATAATTTGGATAAATTTGCCTGGCTTATGAGCCTGTAATCACCAGGATCACCTCTGTAGACTTTTTAAAAATTGAGTTACATTACCTGCACATCAGTCATCAGGTACAGAATAGGCCTAGAAGCAAATAGTCAACAAGTCCCTTCACTAGTCCCTTCCCCTCCCATCAGAAGCAGAAAAGGGAGGGGGTGGCAGAAAAGGGGAGAAGGGGAACAGGAGCCAGTGCTGTGGGGAGTCAGTTTAAAAGCCAGTTCCCCCCAGCACCATCTCTACGGTGGGACCGGGGAGGCAGGGAGTTAGTGGGAACTGGGCGTGAGGCGGGAATCAGCTGATTCCCAGCTTGCACCCAGTCCCAGATACTGCGCCTCTGCTTTTAAAATATATTAAGAGCTGGCAGGGTTAACCCTACTGGCTCTTAATACATTTAAAAAGCAGAGGCACAGTGAGGGAGACCCAGCACGAGACAGAACCCCTTATTCCCAGCTCGCAGCAATTCCCCCCACTATGCACCAGCCTTTTAAATGTATTAAGAGCCTGCTAGCTCTTAAAACATTTAAAAGACAGAGCTGCAGTGGGGTAAGCTCCCAGCTTGCTGCAGCTTCCCCACTTATCAACTAATCAATGGAAATTCCATAACCTAGTCGATTAGTTGATTAAATTTAACATGACTAGTATAGAAGTCAATTTAAGCAATAGTTGACATACCACAGTTAGTAGTTCTGAAAATTAATATTTTAATTTCTTCCTAACTCTTGGTTGAATATCCTCTAGTCCTGGTGGCTTGGCACCATTTAATTTATAAGTTTAGTCTAGAACCTCTTCTCCTGACACTTCAATCTGGAACAGTTCCTCAGATTTGTGACCTAAAAAGAACAGCTAACTATGCCAATGGAATGGGAGGGTTCAGTTGGCACAGTGACTTGGAAACCTCAAATTAGAAGTTAAGCTACCTCTACACCACAGTGGGAACTGACTTTCTGAGACTGATCCACTAACAGTTGATTTAGCAGTTCTAATGAAGACCTGCCAAATCGACCATAGATTGCTCTGCTGTTGACAAGAAGAATAAGGTAAGTCAATGGGATTTTCTCACATGAAGCCCATGCAGTAACTCCAAAGTATATTGATTCCAGCTATGTTATTCATGTAGCTAAAGTTGCATATCTTAGGTCAACTTTCTGCAACTTAAGGCTGCATAAAGATGTTGATGAAATTTCACTTAAGACAGCACAAAAGATGAACTTCATAGTACGCTAAATTTACTTCTGCACTCTTCTGTTGCATGACACTTACCCTTCATAGTCTGTAAAGCTATCAACACATATTTTATTTGTTGCATCCCAGATTTTAACAGTTTTATCCTCACTGCAAGATGCTATTAATCTTCCATCAGGTGAAAATCTGTAAAATATAAAAAAAAAACTATTTAAGTAGTATCAAATATTCAATAATACGGATAACTCAATAGTAAATAAATAGTAAAAAGCATTTTGTAGGACAATCTATTTTCAATTTAAGGGTGTAATACCGAAGAATTTCAAGTTGGAGATGTTAAAAAGCAGGGTATTTTTATAAACATGAAAACGCTGAAATTTTCAGTGGTTACATGTTTACCTATTGGGGAGGGGGAAAAGGCTCTTTGGGAGCCAGTGTACACGGGGAGCCAGCTTTTAAGCTCACTCTCCATGAGCACCAGCTCCTGTGGAGTCAATTGTCCCCTGCAACTTCCCTGCGCTGCTGCCTCTATCAGCAGCAGTGCGAGGTGGGGGGGCAGATGGCTCCCCAGGAACCAAAGCTTGCAGAGAACGGGTTTAAAAGCTTGCTCCTCATGATCATTGGCTCCTGCCTGCCTCCCCCCAATGCTGCTGCCTTTGCCACTTCCCACATCATTTAATAAAAAAAAAAAAAAAAAAAACCTTCTACCCATGAAATCTAAAAACTAAAATATTATTTTAAAACATCCATATACCTGAATAGGTGTGAGGGGAGAAGAAGAGGTTACTTACCTCATAACTGTTGTTCTTCAAGATGTGTTGCTCATGTCCATTCTGATTAGGCGTATGTGCGCCACATGCACAGATTCCGGAGGTTTTTTCCCTTAGCAGTGATCATAGGGCCAGCAATGAGCCCCCTGGAGTGGCCCTGGTATACTGATGCATATATACCCCTGCTGGCCCCTCCACTCTCTTAGTTCCTTCTTGCTGGCTCCTTCCGACAAGGGGAGATGGATGGGATACAGAATGGACACGACACATCTCGAAGAACAACAGTTACGAGGTAAGTAACCTCCTCCTCTTCTTTGAGTGCTTGCTCATGTCCATTCTGATTAGGTGAATCTAGGGCTGGACTAAGGGGTGGGCTAGCAGGGCAGCTGCCCGGGGCGCCAACCTACGGGGGGCGCCCGGATCCCGGAGGGCTGCAGTGGCCACCCAGGGTGGGAGCCACATTAACCCCGACAGCACCGGCCAGCAGCACCCTTCCCCCCGTGGCCGCAGGGCCCTGAATGGCCAGGCGCAGCCCGCCCGGGGCTGCACGCCATCGACGGTGGCCAGAAGACTGGGCAGCGCATGCGCCGTGCGTCCACCCACGCACCCCGGGGGCGGTCCTGCGCATGCGTCGTGCACCTGGAGGCGGGGCTGCTCGTCCCGGGGGTGGGCCCGTGCATGCGTCATGCGCCTGGAGGTGGGGCCGTGCATCCTGGGGGCGGCGCCATGCGCCAGGGCCCAAGGCATCCCTAGCCTTTCCCCTGGAAGCGGGGTTGGAATGTGACTCCTGACTATCCTTCTATAGACCTGAGAACTGCCGCCCCAACTGTGGCATCCTCTCTAGCCTGCTGCATGATCGCGTAGTGTTCTACAAATGTGTTCATCGATGACCTCGTGGCGGCCCTACAAATTTCCAAAATCGGCACATGCGCCAAGAACGCTGCCAAGGTCGCCTGCACTCTCATGGAATGAGCAGTTAACGGTGGTGCAGGTTTGCCTGCAACCTCATAGCATGCCCGGATACAAGATGTGATCCATGAGGAGATGCACTGCACGGAGACGGGCAGCCCTTCATTCTTTCAGCTATAGAAATAAACAACTGTGGTGACTTTCTGAATTCCACTGTCCTGTCTATAAAATGCCAATGCTCTCCTGACATCCAAACAGTGCAATGCCTGTTCCTTGGGTGTGGAGTGTGGCTTAGGATAAAATACCGGTAGGAAAATGTCCTGGGGGAGGTAAAAATGGGAGACCACCTTAGGTAGAAATCCCAGGTGGGAATGCATTCTCACTTTGTCTTTAAAGAAAACTGTGTAAGGGGGCTCTGAAGTCAACACTCTAAGTTCGGACACCCTCCTAGTGAAGTAATAGCCACTAGGAAAGCCACCTTATAGGACAAGTGCTTCAAGGAGCACGAGGCTAGAGGCTCGAAAGGGGCCTTCATGAGCCATGTCAGGACCAGGTTAAGGTCCCAGGGTGGCACAGGTGGAGGTTTATATGGGAGCAGTCTTTCCACTCCATTCAGAAACCATTTGACCATAGCATTTGTAAATATCAACCTTTGGCCCTCCCCTGGGTGAAAGGCCACTATTGCCGCCAGGTTTAGCACCGATTCTCCAGATACTTAAAGAAAAAACAGGAAGGGGGGTGGGAGACAGAGCATCATTCTCTTCCCCGTCCTCCTCCCCCGCCTTTCCCTTCTATTTATTTTGAGTTTTCAAATCCCCTAATCATAACTCCGGTCATCTGAAGAAGTGGGCTGTGTGACGACGTGTTGGGGTTCCCCCGCCTCCTGCACCCCCGGAATGGCACGAACAGACTCCACCAGCCAGTAGAATAGAGGTGGGTTATTGCTTCTCCAGCATACAGCACAGCACAGAAGTCATCAGGTTACAGGGCAGGCCTAGGATGCCTCAGCCCCCCTTGATATGGGGGGGAGGGGAGTCTCGGCTTCTAAACCCCCCAGCCTGTTGCTGAGGCTGCTTCCTCCATCCTCCCAGACAGAAACTAAACTAACTCTCCTCCAGCTCTGCCCCACAGCCAGGGCAGCATCCACCTTCCTTTGTTCCTTTCCATTGGGGTTACCTGGTCAGACAGGTTGAGATACCCTCTTTGCATAGTGACTCATTGCCTGTCTTGCTCGGTGGTGCTACAGACAGTGGCCAGTGAGTTAGCAAGTTACCTGCCACTACGTCACAGTTCTCCCCCCTCCAAGAGCGAACTGAGCAGGGTCACTCTGCTCATGACCTAGGGAAGTCCGGGTCCTCTGTGTGGGAACCCGCCCTGGGGACATGGGTGCTCCCCTTGTCTTGGGCCGGCCGCGGCGAGGCCCCACATGAATTGGCTTCCCTCTGTCCACTCGCCGCACCGCTCCGGGGGGACTGGCACAGGCCTGTCCTCTGTGGTCGCACCCACCCTTCCGCTGGCCTTGATCTCTGGCCAGGGTCTCTCGGGGCGGGGCCATGAGCCCAGCGAGCCTTCCCC